TTAAGTGGTAAATTCTACCAAATGTTTCAAAAAGAAATAATACCAATCCTTCTCAAACTTGTCCAAAAATTGAAGAGAGAGGACCATTTGCAAACTCATTTTACAAGGCCAGCATCACCCTGATGACCCAAAGATAGGTGAAGATATAGAAAACTACAAACCAATATCTGATGAATAGAGACATAAAACTTCTCAACAAAATATTAGCAAAACGAATTAAACAGTGCATTAGAATTATACATCAAGATCAACTGGGATTTACCCGTGAGGCGTAAGGATAGTTCAACATATAAAAATCAATAAATGTGCCACTTTAATAGAATAAAATATAAAAATCATATGATTATTTCAGTAGATGCAGAAAAAGCATTTGACAAAATACATTTTTCTTGATAAAAACTCTCAACAAACTGGGTATAGAAGAAACATCCCAACATAACAAAGGTCATGTATGACAAACTCTCAGCTAACATCAAACTCAACGGTGAAAGGATGAAGCTTTCCCTCTAGTATCAGGAATAAGATAAGAGTGCCCACTGCTAGCACTTTTACTCAACACAGCACTGGAAGTCCTAACCAGAACGATTAGGCAAGAAAAAGAAATAAAAGGCATCCAATCACCGAGGAAGAAGTAAGCTGTCTTTCTTTGCACATGATATGATCTAACATCTAATAGAAAACTCTAGAGACTTCATGAAAAAAAATGTTAGAAATAATTAACAAATTCAGTAAAGTCACAAGATGCAAAATCAACATAGAAAAATCAGTTGTACACTAACAACAAAATATCTGAAAAGAACTGAAGAAAATCCCATTCACAATAGTAACAAATCAATAAATACCTAGAAATAAATTTAATCAAGGAGGTAAAAGATCTGTTCACTGAAAACTAAAAGACTTTGATGAAGGAAATTGAGGAAGACACATGAAATGTGTTCATGAACCAGAAAAATATTGTTTAAACATCCATATTCCTCAAAGCCATCAATATACATTCAATGCAATCAATGCCATTTTTCATAGAAAGAGGAAAAACAATTCTAAAATCTGTATGGAGTCACAAAAGACCCTGAATTGCACAAGCAATTCTGAGAAAGAACACTTCCTGATTCCAATCTATAACACAAAGCTACAATAATCAAAACAGCATGGTACTGGCACAAAAACAGCCACATAGATCAGTGGAACAGAACAGAGAACTGTAAATAAACCCCCACATACGCATTCAACTAGTATTTTACAAGGGAGCCAAGAATACTCAGTAGAGGAAAAACAATCTCTTCAATAAAAGGTGCTGGAAAAATTAGACAATCACATGCCAAAAAAATTAAATTGGACTCCTATTTTAATACTAACAAATTAACTTGAAATGGGTTAAAGATTTAAACATTAAGACCTGAAAACATAAGCTCCTAGTAAAAAACACAAGGAAAAACTCCTTGACATAGGTCTTGCCAGTGGTTTTTTGGATGTAACACCAACAGCACAAGCTACAAAAGCAGAAGTCAGTATACAACTACATCAAACTCCAGATTTTCTGTACAGCAAAAAAATAGTCAACAAAATGAAAAGGCAACCTACACTGATGGACTTTTGCAGCATTATGCCAAGTGAAATAAACCAGACAGGGAAAGAGAAATATCATATATCACTTACATGTGGAACTTAAAAAGAGAGGACACAGAGTAGAATGCTGTTTACCAGAAGCTGGAGGGCAAGAGAAATGGGGAGATACAAACTTCCAAGAGTACAAACTTCCAGTTAGAAGATGAGTAAGTTTTGGGGATCTATGCACAGTATTGTGATGATTGTTAAAAATAATGTATTAATATAGTTGAAAGTTATTTTAGAGTATATCTTAAATTTTCTCACCACAAGAAAAGTAATGATAATTATGTGATGTGATGCAAGTGTTAGCTAACACTATCACAGTAATTATTTTTGCAATGTAAGTGTATCAAATCAACACACTATAAACTTTAAATAAGGTTGCATATCAATTTTATCTCAACAAAGCTGGGGGGGATATCCTATACTCCAAACAAGAAATAAGTATTCTTTGGGGAAATGATTGATTTCAGGGCTGTGACAGGGTACAGTAGCCAATCATGTTTTTAATTGCTAAAACTGAATCAATTTGAGTAGTACTGGATTATAATCCAAAGGATGAAATAAATGCCCTTGAGTCCATATTAATGTACATGAAAAACTAAAGGAATAAATAAATGGGAGGAATAATAGCTCTTGCTTACAGAAGAGTTCCAATTAATAAATGTAGAAGGAATGAAGGAAATGATTTACTCTCTTTACAGTGGAGAATCTTGGTAGATACCACTTTTGTCAAGTAATCAAGGTTAACATCATCAGTAGTTGTATATCAACTTAACGTGCTTCCTGATGAAATGCACTGAAAATGGATAACCTCAATTTAACTCTTGAGACAACATCAGACAAAGCCAATTCGAAACCAAAATAACTAATTCTCTTCAAAGGTCATGAAAAATAAGGAAGTCTGAGAAACTGCCTTTAGTTTCTCCAAGAGATTAAGGAGACAGAACTGGAAGAGATTAACTAGAGAGAACAACTAAATGCAAAGTGAGATGGTGGGATGGATCTGAAACAGAAAAGGTTCATTTTTGGAAAAACCAGGTGAAATCCAAATTGGTCTACACATTTAATTATAATTTTGTATGGTGGAGAATTTTTTAGTTTTGTAAATGTTTTATGGTTGTGATGTTAGGATAAGATGTTAACATAAGGGGAGGTTTAGCAAAGGGTATATTGGCAACCTCTAAAATATTCCCCCAGTGGAACTTCCCTGGTGGCTCCATGCCTCCAATGCAGGGGGTAGTCTGGAAACTTACAAACAAAACCCCCCAGGTGATCTCTGCTTCCTGGTATTCATGCATTTGAGTAATCCCTAATCCTTGAGGACTGGCGGGAAATACTGATTCATTTCTTTCTAGTATTAGAATGTGCAGAGGTAGTGAGATTCACTTCCAAGGTTAGGTTACACAGTAAAGACTGTTTTGTCTTGGGCACATCTGAACTCTCACTTGCTCACTTGAGAAAAGCTTAACTGTCATAGCTGCCTTATGGAAGGAAGAAGCTGTTTCTGGCCAATAACCATGTGAGTAAGTTTAAAAGGACATCAGTCTTAGTCAAGTCTTGGGATGAGACCACAGCTGCAGCCAATACCTTGTTTGAACCCTGTGAGAGACCCGAAGCCAGAAGCACCTAGCTAAGCCATGCCTGGATCTCTGACCCACAGAAACTTTGGGGTAATATTTACTGTTTTAAGCTTCTACATTTCAGGGTAATAGGTTACACTGCAATAGATAACACAGGAACTCTACTATTTTTGCAGCTCCTCTAAGTCTAAATTTAATCTCGAAATAAAGTTAAATATTCTTAAACATTTTATGTATATATACACACATATACAGATGAGTGTGTATATTATTTACAGATTCTGGAGCCAGACAAACCAGGTTCAAATGTCATTTTTAACACTTAATGGTCATATAATCTGGGGCAAATCATTTAATCTAAGGTTTGTAAAACCTATAAATTGAGGTAATAGTACCTACCTATGATGATTATACTAAGTATAAAATGATATAAACATCAACTACAGGGCCTAGCATTTAGTACATTCTGGAACAAACAGCACTGTTATTAGTTCATATTTATAATCAGCTATAATTTTCTTTCTCATTCAAAGAATTCAGCTCCATTAACTTGACACTTTATCACTTATGAGTTTCAGTACTATATGCAAACTTGTCAATCTTTTAATTTCTAAACACTTTTCACACCCAAAAAGCATCTATTTATAATACTATGGAAATCAGAGATTGACGTTGTTTTTATCTGCCCCAATCCAATTCTCAGTCACTAACTTTCAGAGCTATAATGGACCTTCAAGTTTCCCACCAATCAACTATTTCTTCCCACCAATCATCTGTGTATGAGTGCCAAAGATATTAAATGACTTGTCCAAGAGCACAGTTGATAGGATAGTTTAAGTATGGCTCAGGATTTGTGAGACATGGTAATGTGGTAAAGAAGCACTTGCTTCCATTGAACAGACTGCATTATTTGAAAAAACTGATGCTTGCTGAAAAAGCAGCAAGTCAGTATCTCAGTTTTCCAGAGGGCAAATGAGGCTACCATCACCTACCTTAAAGGGTTAACAAGCATTAAATCAGGTAACATATGTAAGTCCCTCATTGCCATGACTACCACATGTGGATGTTGATTAAACATTCTTTCCCTTCTTTTCAAGGCTCGCCATTATGATCTACTACCTTCTCAACTATAAAGTGGAAACATTACACACAGAGGGTAAGTGTTTAGCCATATAGTAAAGGACTCATTAATGTAAAAGTGAATTAATGACAGTCTTAAAATCAGTCTGAACAGTATAAATCTAATGCATTTATCCCTAAACCGGGTTTTCATTCCTACAATCATTGTGAAATAACGTATCACATTAGGGACCACATTATCTTGACATACACTACTCGTGATATTAACCTTGATATCTTGGTTAAAGTGATGTCTGCCAGGAATTTTCACGGAGAAATCACCACTTTGATATTCATTTAGAGAGGAAACATGAAACAGAAACAAAGAGAGAGGGGGAGAAGGAGCACATACATGCTGCATCCCCTTCCAAAGCCTGGTCTTCAGCATATTTCCAATGTAATAAACAAGGAATTACTAAATTGTACCACTTGGTGATCAAAGATTCTTCTGAGTAATGTTTAAAAATACTTGATGTCAAGTTGTTTTCCAAGTATAAATACATTATATTACATTCAGATGTTTTCTCTTACTTAGGTGTTCATTCCTTGAAAGGTTTCTAGATTAGGCAGATAACAACCTCCCCTAAGAGAAATTATCTGCCTCTCCCCCAAGAACTTACACTTGCTTAAGTATTTTAAACCCTTTATCATAAATTTCATCAGCTTGCTTGTCATCACAATGAGACTCACCGATCTGCAGATACCGGAGTCCCTTCTGGATTGGAATATTCTTCCAAATCTGAACTGTTCACTTGTGTTTGCCTTGATGTTACTATCTGGCTATTCTGAAAAGGTATGGTTTTCAAGTCCTGAGTAATAACATTACTATCTGGAAGAGGAGACTGTACGACTTGAAAGTCCGATGAAGATTTAGGTCCTAGAAAACCTAAAGATTCTTGATTCTGTGCTACAGGTTTACTGATCAATAATTTGGAGGTTGGTTCCAATGATCTTGAAGATATAGTTTGTAGGTCAGAGTTAAACTCACTATTCATCCTTGTTTTAGTGGCAGGATCCAATGAATGATATCTTTTATCTAAGTTTCCACTATCCAACTTGGAAGGAGTCTTGGGACAAAGAGTTATACGAATACAAGAAAGTGCTTTTCTATTTGAAGGTGGAGTAGATGCAGATGTTACTACTGTACATTGACTTGGGACTGATGGGGAGACCACATCACTGAATTTGGCTTCAACATCTATCACATCAGAAATGTGTAATTTAGGCTTATGTTCATTATTCTTTTCTACTACACAATCCTGACTTTGAGGAAGGGGGGGATGGACTTTTCTCAGGTGGTGATCTACATTTGGGGCTTTGCTTTGTTCAAAGAGTTGACGCTGCTCAAGAAAAATGGAAGAAGGAAGGTCTGAAGCTATATAATCCTGACTCTGAGGAAGGGAAGAGTGGTTTTCTCTTAACTGATCTACATACGGGGCTTTGCTCTGTTTAAAGAGTTCTCGCTTTTCAAGGAAAATATGACAAGGAAGATTTGGAGCTACAGAATCCTGATGTTGAGGAGGGGGAGAATGGTGTTCTCTCACATGGTGATCTGCATGTGGGGCTTTGCTTTGTTCAAAGACCTCTTGTTCAATAAAAATGTGTGAAGGAAGATCTGCAGTAATAGTTACATTCTTCTCTTTTACTTCTAGTGTGGAATTTGGTCTGCCCATGCTAATGAGAGTATGATTATCGGAAAAATGAACTTCTTTGAAATTGCTATCATTTGCACTGGCAGTGGGCTTAGGAAGACTGCTTTTAAAATCTGATCTTTCTAAGGGTTTTTCTTCTTGGTAAGAATGTTCAACAGATAATTTTTGGCTTTGGCTACTATTTTCTGCTAAAATAGTCACGGCTTTATCTGGTGACTGACTAATGACTTTAAGTGACGAAGGGGAAGAGGTTCTCTGTTTTAGATCTCTAGGAGGAGTCTGCTCTTCAGTGAAACGAGAATTAACTACCCCCACAGATGGTCCAGAACACTGGCTACCTTCAGTAACACCAACCTTAAGAAAAGAGGAATCTGAAAAGCATTTAGAATGTCGGTGAGATGCGAAAGTGATGGAGGTAGTAAACTTTTTCATGGGTTCTGGGGGCAGCATTTGTGATGAAGAATGACAATCCATTTCTTCAGGTGGCATACAAGCAGGTTCTACTAATTCTGACAGCCAAGGGTCCAACTTTTCATGAAATGGCATTCGAAGGCCCTTGCTAATTTCCAAGTCATCACTGATAAAGTTTTGAAATGGGGAATGACTTTGTAACTGCAAGGAATTCCAAACTTTGAATTGGGAGTTGTTCTGGTCCAGTGACTTGGAAAGGTTGATGTGCCTAGTTCTCCATGATGATGGGCTCCATTGTCCTCTGACTATTTCTGAGGGTTCAGCAGATCTAAAAACACAAGGGTGGCTGTCCAATCGGGGTCGTTCAGCTGGTAGAGTTCTGAAACATCCTTTTTCATGGCTCTCGATAATAATGTGACTACAAACAGCTTCTGGCTTGCATCCTATTCCCCGTGGACTCTGTAAATCCTAGAAGATATAAACAAGTTCTTACTTAAAGTAGTCTAAATAATTATAAAAACACAGCAAGAAAAAGATAGTTAACTACAGAATAAAATGGCTCATGATAACTAAGATCACACAGTTAACTTCTTTTAAAAGTTTTCACTTAAGTTACAAAAGCAAAGACTTTTGCTCACATTTTTTGTTTTAGTAACAGGGGTATCTTACCCAAATTCTGTTGGTCACATGACTACCAAGCAGACACTCTTCTTTTGCAGCCAGATATGATCACATGACTAGCTACAAGCCAATGGGAGGTGAGCAAAAGCAGTAAGTACAACTTCTGGCTCCTGTCCTTAAAAAATCAAGTTCTTGACCTCTATTATCTCCTACTACCACCTTCAATCATTACCATTGCTGTTACTCTCTCTTTTTAATTGGAGTATAACTGCCTTACCACGCTGTTAGTTTCTGCTGTATAACAACCCATTCCCACTACTCCTGCCACATGAAAACGGTGATGTCTACAACAACCCTGGGAGGCCACAGGTAACGGTGGCTCAACTGCCCACCCAGCTTGGCTCCTCAGAAGATTTCAAGAAGCAAAGTTACTTTCTTACCCTGGACCTGAAAGAGAAATACAATTCTACCTTACCTGAGCCATTGTATTTGGGTCTCTCTGTTACAGAAACATGGCCTACAACCTAATATTTACCAATAAAAACAGGAAAAAAGAATTAGTACTTCTTACTAGGGCATCTGGTCCCATCACCTCATGGGAAATAGATGGGGAAACAGTGGAAACAGTGTCAGACTTTATTTTTTTGGGCTCCAAAATCGCTGCAGATGGCGATTGCAGCCATGAAATTAAAAGACGCTTACTCCTTGGAAGGAAAGTTATGACCAACCTAGACAGCATATTAAAAAGCAGAGACATTACTTTGCCAACAAAGGTCCATCTAGTCAAGGCTATGGTTTTTCCAGTGGTCATGTATGGATGTGAGAGTTGGACTGTGAAGAAAGCTGAGCGCCAAAAAATTGATGCTTTTGAACTGTGGTGTTGGAGAAGACTCTTGCGAGTCCCTTGGACTGCAAGGAGATCCAACCAGTCCATCCTCAAGGAGATCAGTCCTGGGTGTTCACTGGAAGGACTGATGCTGAAGCTGAAACTCCAGTACTTTGGCCACCTCATGCAAAGAGCTGACTCGTTGGAAAAGACCCTGATGCTGGGAGGGACTGGGGTCATGAAAAAAAGGGGACGACAGAGGATGAGATGGCTGGATGGCATCACTGACTCAACAGACATGAGTTTGAGTAAACTCCGGGAGTTGGTGAAGGACAGGGAGGCCTGGCATGCTTCAATTCATGGGGTCGCAAAGAGTCGGACATGACTGAGTGACTGAACTGAACTGAACTAAGGTATAGGATCAGTGCCTAAATACCATAAATATTTAACACTTCTTTGAGATTTCTCTGTTTTACCTCTAAATTTATAACCTGGCATTCTATTTAATTTTAGTGCCACATGTGATTTCATATAAAAATATTTTAAATTGCATTGCCATTTCTCACATAATGGAGATGTACTGTTCCCTATTTCTCCTGCTAAGTACAACTAAAAATCCTGGACATTATATACAGAACAAAGTTAAGAAGAATCTGAAAGGTAAAGAGAAAAAAAGGCAGACGGGCTAGGGACTTTGGGATCAGAGAATAACAAGGGAGTGATCCCTGGGTTTTCTTTTTACTTCAAATATCCCAGACTTTGAGTTAAAGACAGCAACCACGAACAAAGAGCACAGAAGAATACAAAGAGCTCTAACAAAAACCTGCTTTCATGAGTTAAAAAACAAGTAAAGGTAAAGTTCAGCAAGACAGAAAACTTTTAGACAATAACTTCTCCCTTCCAGCCAAACATCACAGAAAAAAATCTATGGCTTCACCCATACCCACACCAGCAAAGGCCAAGTGAGAAGCCTAAAGTTCCCTCCTTCAAAAACTCTAATGCAGAATCCCAACATCCAGGCCAACGTGGTATTAGAGACGGTCAAAAAATTATACAACTACCATATGACCCAGCAAAGCAGTAAAGACTGATGTTCATCAAAAATCTACACAGGAATGTTTATATCAGCTTTATTTGTAATAGCCAACAACTGGAAAACAACGAAGTTACCTCATTCAATCGGTATATATTTAAACAAACTGTGGTACATTCATACCATGAAATACTACACATCAGTAAAAAATGAACAGACTATTGATATTGAATATTGTCCAGAGAATTATGCTGAGTTAGAAAAAGCCAACACTAAAAGATAGAATACAGTATTATTTCATTTATATGATATCCTTAATGGACAAAATTATAGAAATAGAAACTAGATTAATGGTTGCCAGGGGTTAAGAATAGTGGGAATAAGACAGAGTGGATAGTTATTACAGGGAGACAAAAGGGACCCTTGGGGTGGTGAAGACATTACGTGCCCTGACTCTATCAATGTCATTATCCTGGTTGTGATATGTTATTACATATTTGCAAGACACCTTCATTTCTGGAAACTGGGTAAAGGGCAGAGGCAATCTTTCTATATTATTTCTTACTCCTTTATGTCAATCTATGATTATTTCAAAATAAAATGTTTAAGTTTTTAAAAAGTCAATAAACTAAATACTACAGGACAAAACATTTTTAAAATGTGATTTTAATTCCATGGCTTCTTACTATCCTGACATTGCCACACATATCATTGGGAAATAAATGCTCCAATTTGAGAAGAATAAACTTAGTCCAGCTTCTTTAAACTGCACATGATTAGATTTATATTCATCCCCAAAGACATTTCTTTTTTCTTCCCAACAATCCATATCTTAAAATTTTTTAGAATACTCCAAACCCCACAACCATCCATCACCTCCTTCAAGCTTTATAATAATTATAAACAGCTTTTCATAATAACTTTTCCATTTAAAAATTTTTTACAGCTTTGGTATTGGGCAAATCAATTCTAGTATTTTCATACAACCTTCTCCAGGTATAGCCATAAGAATTTATATTACATCCCAACAATGTATCCCTTGATAGGGAATAGGCTCTTAAATGTGGACTTCCCTGGTGATCCAGTGGTTAAGATATACCTAACAGAAAATGGCTAAAATAAATGCACTTTCAATGTGGGGGACCCAGATTCAATCCCTGGTCAGGGAACTGACCCCACAAGCTAGTTAGATATCCTGCATGCCACAACTAAGACCAGGCACAGCACACTAGCCCCCAAAAGGCTGCCGTTTCGCTCACAACCTTCTTTAATGATAAAATCATTCAGCAAACTATAAATGAAAGGGACTTTCTCAACCAGATGAACAGCATTTACAGAAGATGCACAGCTAACATTATAGTAAATGGTAAAAGATCAGATGCCTTTCCCTTAGGCTAAGAACAACATAGTATGTACATACTTCCTCTTATAATACTGGAGGGTCTAGCCAGAGCAATCTGGAAACCAATTAAAAGAAATCAAGAAAGGAGAGGAAGAAGTAAAACCATCTCTGCTTGCAGATGACATGATCTTCTACACAGAAAATACCAAGGAAACCATAAGAAAACCAACTAGGACTAATAAACAAGTTCCTTAAAATTTAGGATATGAGTTTGACAGACAGCAGTCAACTACATTTCAACACACGGTGAACAATCCAAAAATGAAATCAAACAATTCCATCTACAATAGCATAAAAATAAAATACTTAAGAATATATTTATCAAAAAAATGAAGACTACACCACAGAACACTATTGAAACAAATTATAAAAGATCAAAATAAATGGAAAACTGGCCCAATGAATTGGAAGATTTTAATATTGTTAACATGGCAATACTTCCCATACCGATCTATAGATTCAAGGGAATTCTCAACAAAATGTCAGCTGGCTTCTCTTCTTTGTAAAAATTGATCCTAACATTTATGATGAATTGACAAGTAGGCTAGAAAATTCATGGGGAAAAAAGTCTTTCAAACAAACAGTGAGAGGACAACTAAATATCTATGTGTAAAATAATGAATACGTACTCCATATATATAAATGAATGCCATTTCAGCTACTACATATATGGATTATTTTTATATTTAAAGTTTCGATACTTTGGTACATAAAATAGGAGATGTTGGTATAACCTAACTTTTTTTTTTTAAGAAGTGGCAAGCAGCCTGATTCATGAGAAGTGAAGTTTCTTGGCTGTGTGTGACTCCTTGAGATCCCATGACCTGTAGCCTACCAGGCTGCTCTGTCCATGGAATTTTCCAGAGAAGAGTGTTGGAGTGGGTTGCCAATAACCTAATTTTTCCATAAGTGTTTTCCAGTTCTTTATAAATCCATTATTTTGCTAAAATAAATAAATAAATAATGCTTCTAAGCAGACAGGCAACAAAAGTAAAAATATATGCATGCAGTTGTCTAGTTTCCCCAGCACCACTTATTGAAGACACTGTCTTTTCTCCATTGTATATTCTTGTCTCTTTTGTCACAGATTACAATAAATGGCCACAGGTGCATGGGTTTGGCTCTAGACTTTCTATCCTGTTCCACTAATCTATATTTCTGTTCTTGTGCCAGTACCTAGATTTCTCCAGGTCCATTATTCTTTCTCAAGATTGCTTTCACTTTTCAGGATTTTTCTGTGATTCCATATAAAGTATGAAAAATTTTGTTCTAATTCTCTGAAAAATGCCCTTGATAATGATAGGGTTGGCAGTGAATCAGAATACTCCCTAACACTACACACAAAAATAAACTCAAAAATGCTTATTCATAATCAGAAACTGTCACAGACATAGGGAACAAAGTTATGGTTCAGTTCAGTCGCTCAGTCATGTCCGACTCTTTGCGACCCTGAGAACTGCAGCATGCCAGGCCTCCCTGTCCATCACCAACTCCTGGGGTCTACTCAAACACATGTCCATTGAGTTGGTGATGCCATCCAGCCATCTCATCCTCTGTTGTCCCCTTCTCCTCCTGCCTTCAATCTT